CGGCCGCACCCGCCGACGACGCCCCAGTTCCGCCGCCGGCCGCTCTCGCCTCCGGATCTGGGCGGGACAAGGCCCGCCACCGCCAGATCCAGGCAGGATGAGGTCCATCGCCGCCGGATCCGAGCGGGACAAGGCCCGTGTCGCCGCCCACTCGTCATCGTCGTCGGGGTCGCCCCAGCTGCCCCCACTTGTGTCGTCGTCGTCGTCGGGGTCAACCCCTCCTTGTCGTCGTCAGGGTCGCCACCGCGGAGGGGGCAGCCCGAGCGATGGGGATGACGTGGCCGCCGCCCGCCACGCGACGCGCCGCTCTCGGCTGCCGGCGCCCGCCTCTGCCCCATCCCCACCTCCGCCCTGCGCCTCTGCCCCGTCTGCTCTATGCCGTGAGAGAGAGAGAGAGGAGATAAGTGTGTGTGAGAGAGAGACTCAGTAGAGAGGGTTGTGGTTGGCGTAAGGATAAGGTTGGGGTTGAAAACTTTTGAACTGTGGAGAGGGAAAGAGCCGACTTCATTTTTACATGCGGACCACTTAAGGATCCGCATGCAAAAATTAGTTTTTTAATTTTTAAATCAAATTTATGGCACTAAATTAATTCTTATGAAAATGTTGTTAAAAACAAAGTTGTAGAACTCATTGAGATCTACCATTTTTCTTTAGGTTATTTCTCCATTTGAATTTGATTGAACTATATAAAATATGAATTTTAAAATATAAGAATTTCAAATAATTTTTCGAGTAGTAAATATTTTCAGATAAAAAAAATTGTCAACAACAAAGTTGTAAAATGCATCAAGATCTACAACTTTTGTTTTGGTCATTTTTCTATATGACTTTGTTTCAACAGTTTGATTTTGAATTTTAAATTATGACAACTTTAAACAACATATTCAAATAGTAAATGATTTGAACTGAAAAAGTCATCAATAACAAAGTGGTATAACTCATCAAGATCTGTAACTTTTCTTTTGGTCATTTTTTTCATCCGATAAAATGATTTGTAACATTGTTCACAGAATATACATATCTCTTATATAGTTTTATAAACTATAAGAGAGATATGTAAATTTTGTGAAAATTTTACCATCACTTTATCGGATGAAGAAATGACCAAAATAGAAGTTATAGATCTTGATGAGTTATACAACTTTGTTGTTGATGACTTTTTCCGCTGAAATCATTTACTCCTTCAAAATAGTATTTGAAGTTTTAAAATTCAAATTTTTAATTGATAAAACAAAGTCACTACAAAAAGTGCCCAAAATAATAGAAGTAAGAACACAATAACATGACAGAGTATGATTTTAGAAACATTAAGGGAAAAGAATCATCCAATTTAGGTTCATATGAGTGAGATAATCTAGTTTCAATTTTTTTCAAATTTTATTTCCGCAGACGGCTACTTAACACGCCCGTATGGAAAAATTGATTTTTCCATGCAGGCGCTTAAGTGAGCCATATGCAAAAATGACCTCATTTTTACGTCCGGACCTCTTATGAGTTCCTATGGAAAAATCGATTTTTTCATACGGGCGTCTTAAGCAGCCATATGCGAAACTGCCGCTCGATTTTTGCAGATGCCACTAGTTATGGTCCGTTTGCAAAAATCATGGGGGTCTCGTACAGAAAAAACACTTTTGCAGTAGTGTATGAGCCATGCTAGAAAGTCATACATTGTGAAACAAAGGAAGTAGTATTATGTATATTCGTGCGAGATGTATACTTTGCTTTGTTTATACATGGAGTATGTGGTAGAGATTTTTTGATTATGGCAGTATTCGTTATGCCATAATCTTTCGTTGGGTTTTCCACGCGCTACCAAGCGTTTATATGTATACAAAATTTCAGCACAGTATGAACGTAATATACCAGTAGTGAAATTCCATATGTATGTTTTATATATATACTCCTAGCTAACACAGCTTCTTTCTTGCTTTAATAGTTACTTCCTGTAGCTGATCTCGCCCAAGTGAGGATCCTATCACAAACAACTAGAGCTCTCACGTGAAGATAATCAATGTAGGATTTAGGGATTTTTCTTCTCGTCAAACCATATATTACCTTTGGCATGATCGTGTAAAACAACGTATGCGCATCCACTAGAATGTGTATTCCTAAACCCAGTTGTAAACTCAATAACTAATAACCAAATTACAAACATTGTTCGTCAACCCGTGCCAGCTATTATTATTGCTATCTATGTATCTATCTATTATATTATTAAAACAGCTTTGAAAAGAGGCACCACGTTCGCTGTGGGGCTAAAAATTCCCACATTAATCGGAGAAAAATAAAAAAAAGAAAAGAAGAGTCCAAGTAGAAGTACAATTTAAAAATAGCTAAAATTTGGAATTAAAAATAAGCAATATTGAAAGAATTTTCCATATAAGAACCCAATATGAGATTAATCAAAATTCAAAATAAAAATAAAATAAAATCCAAAATTAGAAAAGGAAACGAGAGTCCAAGTAGAAATACAATTTTAAAATAGCTGAAATTTGAAATTAAAAATAAGCAATATTGAAAGAAGTTCCCATATGAGAATCCAATACGAGATTAATCAAAATTCGAAATTAATATAAAATAAAATCCAAAATTAGAAAAGAAAAGGAGGGTCCAAGTAGGAATATAATTTAAAAATAGCTGAAATACAGAATTAATAATAAGCAATATTAAAAAAAATCCATATAAGAATCAAATACGGGATTAGTTAAAATTCGGAATAAAAATAAAAATAAATCCGAAATTAGCAAAAGAAAATAAAATAAGAGTTCAAGTAGGAATAAAATTTAAAATTAGCTGAAATTCGGAATTAAAAATAAGTAATATTGAAAGAAAAATTCATATAAGAACCAATACGAGATTAATTTAAATTTAGAATAAAAAATAAAAATAAATCCAAAATTAGAAAAACTAAAAGAGAATTCAAGTAGGAATACAATTTTGAAACAACTGAAATTGAAAATAAAAAATAAAAACATTAGAAAAACGTATTAACTAAAATTTTTTAAAAAAATTCTGAAATTAGAAAAAGAAAAATAAGATTTCAATTATGAATACAATTTATAAATAACTAAAACTTGTGATAAAAATAGAGAATATTGAAAGAAAAGACCATCTAAAACACATGACGAGATAAATTAAGTAATAGGCCTATAAAAGAGTAGAGTGGTGGCGGTTGATACGACATATAAAAATTGTTAATAAAACACCAAATAGAATCCTAATGACGATTAAAAGGAGGGACGTCAGGCAGGCCGTGAAGCAAACGAGTAAGGCGGTTGCTGGGACTTCTAGAATGTAAACCCCATTGATAATCATATTTGATTTTTAAAATCTCAATGACAATAAAAAGGAGAAGCAGCGGGCGGGGTGTATAGGAGTATAGTTGCAGAGCCGCTGACAGTTGACGGGACTTCCACAAAATGAAAAATGAATTCCAATGATAGTTATGTTAGATTTTTAGAATCACAATGACAATAAAGAATAGGCGGCGGACGGGCCGTAGAGGAGCATAATGGCATTGTTTGACGAGACTTCTAAAAATTATAAAAAATAGAACTACAAGTCCAATTTTTAAAGGTCTGAAACTTCTAAAAAGAAAAAAACCAATGATAATCATGTTCTATTTTAAAATCTCAATGACAATAAAGAAGGGAGGCAGCGGGCGAACCGTAGAGGAGTAGAATGGCAAAGCCGCTGACGGTTTGGCGGGACTTGTAGAAAGTAAAAATGAACCCAAACGATAATTATGTTCAATTTTCAAAATCTCAATGACAATAAATAGAAGAGATAGTGAACGGACCGTATAGGAGTATAATGGCAATGTTTGACGGGACATCTATAAATTATAAAAATGAAACCCAACGTGACAATAAACACTAAAAACTATAAAATCCAATTTTTAAAGGTTCCAAGAAGAATGAATAGAAATAGTGGTAGATCGAGCAAGCAAATAAATATGGAGATGACATAAGGGGTAGCAACCAGGGTGACTTTTAAAAACTCTATAATTAGAAACACGAGGATGATAAGGTTTGCTCTTTCAAAGTCTTAAGATAATGATATAGCCATTTAATAAATTTGAAGTAAAATCATACTAAAAAATATATGATTTTGTTTTTGGTGCTAGCCGCGCAATTGCGCGGGCCACACAGCTAGTTATTTAAACAACAACAGTTCATACTAATTTTTTTCTGCGGGGCAGTTCATACTAAAATTAGAATCCATTTATATTACAACTCGCTAATTATTAATTTCATCTCAACTCACATGGGTCCACGACCGATGACAGAAACTTTTGAATGTTTTAAGTAGTAGTGATAGAGATAGAGATAAAGATAAAGAAGTAAAGATAGAAATAGAGATTAATATGACATTAAATTTATTTCTTAAGAAGGGTCTATCTCTTACAATTTGCTAAAAAAATATTTCAATTTGTTAATACCACATTAATTTTGAATTCTAGAAACTAAATTAGTGAGTCCATGGTATCTCGTATGGCATGTTTTGTTTAACACAAACTCTCGATACGATACGATCTATGTGTTCAAAAAGATATATGATTCATCTAATCGATGAATTTTTTTTTCTAATTATGAAAGCAACCGAGAAGTGCCCAATGAATATAAATAAATATATATTAGGGGAAATGGTAGTGCGAAGACTTTGTTGAGTTGCATTCAAGCCGTTGGGTCCTTTTCGTTTATTTAAAATTTATGGCTGGCTAGTGTCCAACAGTCCAAGTAAGATCCATCAGGCTCCGCTCCTCTTCATATACTCCCTCCGTCCCAAAATGTAGCTATTTCTAGCACAGTGTTTTGTCCCAAAATGAAGCTATTTCTTCACCTACCTCCTCCTCTCAACCAATCACAACCATTTTTCTTCACCTACTTTCTCTTTTCAACCAATCACACACTTCCTCCAATCATTCTCACCTACTTTCTTAATACTCGTGCCAACCTCAAAAATGGCTTTATTTTGGGACGGAGGAAGTATATACTAGCATTAATTCGTCGGACTAAGGTGCACAAGTACGCGTACGATCAGAAGAGAAACACATCGACAAATAAGTTCATACTTCCATGGCTTCCTATGGTGAGCTAACAATATCATGTCTCACGGCCATAGCTGTTGCTGGGGCGGCGTTGCTCGCCGGCGGCGCAGAGGCGCAATGCCTGCACACCTGCGGCGGCATAGACATCCCTTACCCTTTTGGCATCGGATCTGACGGCGACTGTGCATTGCCTTTTTACAATATCGACTGCAACAACAAAAAACCATTCTACCGAGATGTGGAGGTCCTCAGCATCTCCCTCCAGCTTGGTCAGATCAGGGTGAGCACCCCCATATCTTCTTCTTGCTACAACCCCTTCTCTAAGAGGATGTACTCCAGCGGGTGGGGGTTCAACCTGTCATACACACCTTTCATGCTGTCGGACTCCAACAAGTTCACGGTCGTCGGGTGCCAGTCATTGGCCTACATTTCCGACCCAACCAGCAACTACACGAGCGGCTGCGCGTCCTCCTGCCCGGGTGGTAAAGTGGTGAGCGCCACCAACAGAACCTGCTCCAGGATAGGATGTTGCCAGATAACCATCCCCAGAGGCATGGAATTCTGCAAGGTGTCGTTCGGGGAGAGCATGAACACATCGGGAATCTACGAACACACCCCCTGCAGCTATGCAGCGATAATGGACTACTCGAATTTCACTTTCTCAACCAGCAACTTGACTTCTCTGCTAGAGTTTAACAACACCTACAGTGGCCGAGCGCCGGTGAAGTTTGACTGGGCTATCTGGGGTCCCCGAGACTGCGTGGAAGCGCAGAAAAATCTCACATCGTACGCGTGCAAAAGCGACCATAGCGTGTGCCTCAATTATTCCAGTGGAGCAAAATCAGCCTACATGTGCAACTGCTCCAAAGGATACCATGGCAATCCTTACCTTCAAGGCTCAAATGGTTGTGAAGGTAAAATATGCCTATAGATTTATTCTCATCAAAGCTACAAGTTTTAAATAATTATAGGTATTTCCTGACAGTAAGTATAATATAGAGTTGTCATGTATTGCAATAGAGTGTATAAACAGCTATCTTTTTTCTCTCAATATTTAACGGACACATCTATACAATTAATGAACCCACTTCTGGTATACACCCTCCGTTCTAAAATGAACTAATGCCTTCTGCTACGAGTCCACATTTTAGTTATTAGAGGGACGTAGGCTTTAAAAAATAGCATAGCACACTGCTTATTTACCCATCTGCATTTCTCCTCAGATTAGAGATGACAATGGCCCCATTTTCCGTGGTGAATTCACCCATTAGGAGCAGGCATGGTTAGAATTGGTTCTTCATGGGGACATAAAGGGGAGGAGGCTTGTCCCCGTCGGTTTTCACGAGGGTGGGGATGGTTCTTCATTCCTTGTCCCCACTCCCCGTGGAGCTCCACATAGGTATCCAAGTTTAATGTGATTATATTAATTATTATATTTGATAAATGATAATCATATGTTTTTATCGTGTGAAATAGTATATAATATTTCTAGATATATGTTGATATATTAATATAAAGTGCGTATATACGTTGCATTGCATATATAATTTGACATGTGTATATTGCTTTAAGCGGGGACGAATATCCTGCGGGGATTTATTTCCTGTGCGGGGTGGGGATGGGAACAAAGTTTCCCCGTTGTTTTATCGCAGGGATGGCGATGCATTCCCCGACGGTGAATTCCCTGTTGCCATCTCTACCTCGGATCCAATGTGTTTCTATGTACTTTAGCCTCTCAACTATGTGAATGCGCGTTGCTGCTGCTTCTTGTTATTTTTAAAGTACAGAGTGCTGTTAATACCATAAAAAAATTAAAATGAACTCCATGAAAGTCATGTCGTCTCGGCATGCATAGTCGCCAAGTATAATTTCCTATAGTTAGCATGCCTTTTATAAACCAACTTTTTTTTCCATGTAGCTTTGTCCTTTAATTTGTGTGCATATCATCACTTTTTTTTTTGCGGGGTGCATATCATCACGTTATAAATATTTCTATAAAAGGTTTATATTTGATTGCAGATATTAATGAATGTGAACATCCTGAGAGTTACCCGTGCTATGGAGAATGCCACAATAAAGACGGCGGATTTGATTGTTTCTGTCGTGATGGTACACGAGGAAATGCCACTATTCCAGGAGGGTGCCAAAAAAACTTCTTAACGCGAAAGGCACGAGTTGCAATTGGTACGTACTTACTCCAATACCGTGTTGCCTCATATTATGATATGCTCGATCAGGTATAGACACACAGATGTTGAAATAGTACCTTGATAAACCTTTTCACTAATGAAAAAACATTATCTCTCAAGGTGTTGTTGCCTGCATATTATCTATCCTCTTCGGTTTCCTTGGATGGGAAGTGATACGGCACAAAAGGAGCATAAAAAGACAAGCTTTATTAAGACAAAACGATGAGTTTTTTCAACAGCACGGAGGACAGCTATTGCTAGAAATGATGAAAGTAGAGGGCAATGCAGGGTTTACACTCTACGGTAGACAAGAGATTGAGACTGCCACAAATAACTTCAACAAAGCGAACATCATTGGGGAAGGAGGGCAGGGAACTGTTTATAGGGCGGTATTGGGTGGAATCGCCGTCGCAATTAAAATGTGCAAGGAGATTGACGAGAACAGGAAGATGGAATTTGTGCAGGAACTGGTCATACTTTGCCGTGTCAACCATCCCAACATTGTCAAGTTGCTCGGTTGTTGCCTGCAGTTTGAGGCACCCATGCTTGTGTACGAGTTTGTGCAAAACAAAACACTGAAAGAGTTGTTGGATCTCCAAAGGAGCACGAGGTTCCATGTCACACTAGGAACCCGCCTAAGAATTGCTGCGGAATCTGCCGGGGCATTTGCGCATCTGCACTCATTGTCGCACCCTATACTCCATGGTGATGTGAAGCCGGCCAACATCCTACTGGCTGAGGGATTGGTCGCAAAGGTGTCGGACTTTGGCTGCTCAACAATTGATGAGAGTACTCCGGCTGTGCCAAAAGGCACGCCAGGGTATATTGATCCAGACTACCTACTCGAGTATCAACTCACAGCCAAGAATGACGTATATAGCTTCGGTGTTATTCTTCTTGAGCTTTTAACTGGTAAGAAGCCATTCTCAAAAGAAAGGAAGAGCTTGACCTTGATGTTTCAGGAGGCTATGGTAAATGGCACACTCCAGGACCTCCTTGACAGTGACATAGTCGATGAAGCTAGCATGAGAGTAATCCATCGAGTTGCAGTGCTGGCAAGTCAGTGTTTGGTTGTTCCAGGTACAACGAGACCGTCAATGGCTTTAGTGGTGGAGGAGCTCTGGCGGCTTGCGCTAGCAGATGAATTGCAGCGATACCCGCAGCCACCACTGGTGCTTGAGGAGTTGAGCTTTCTGGATACGGGAAGCACCAGTGGGATTTACAGCCTTGATAATAAGGCCGTGTTAAGCACAACATTCGCTAGATGATCAGTAGATCTATCTTGATTGTCTTCGTTGTGTCATTTGTAGGTTTTTGTATATTGAGTGTTGTTCTCTATTTTGGATGTATTTGTTGTGAGGAATGAGAATATAAGAACCTGTAAACACAATAAATCATTTAGTGTACTGTAGAACTACTGATGGTTTGGCAGAAATGTAATGAAACAACTAGTAGTGGTAATTGCCGCATCAACTCTTTGACTTCTTGGGTCCTGGTTTATGTTTCTTTCACCCGAGAATGTCGCCGAAGTTCCCATGGGCGCAAGGACGGTGGTGACGGGTTCTTCTTTCTCCCATCACCGCGGTTCAAATGGTGGCTGTGGAGGTGGCACCATCGGTTGAATCTGGAGTTCTGGTGAGTTGCCTCGGTGTGGTGGTGACGTCAACAAGTTATACGCACTCACACCAACATCCACGCATATTCTCAAACCAATTTCATCAAATAAATCATTTACAAAACCAATTATTCGTTACAAAATATTAATCACGACAATCATTAAAAAAGAAAAAAGTCCTGCACAGCAAGTTCTGACGCATGAAGGTGACACACTGACAGTGCGCACCGGGCCAAAGCGGTGTTGCGACGGATCGCGCCAAAGCAGGATACTTGCACGATACTTGCAGCTGACCAGGGCATGGAAAGCCACACGGCGTGCTCGCTATGTGATTGGGAGAAATAGACAGCAAATCACGTGCAAAAATGATACTCAAGGACAAAAATGACTTTTCACCCATCTACTAACGGTATATGTGTTAAATAAGCCTACTGGAAAAGGTCAATAAAACATAAAATTTGATGATGCATAATATAAGTGCAAAAGTGAATTTTATCGGGGCAAATAAGGCTGAATTTTTTATTTATAATAAATAATTACCCTTAAATTAAACAATTAGTAAATCGTAGGGGGGATTTACAGGAGTAGGATGGACGTCACTACAGAAAACGTCTAGAACTACTGGATGCCGTTTTAAACAACGTCCATACTTGGACGGTGTTGGAAACAGCGTCCACCTCCCTGGTGCAGCCAAGCCACGAATAGAGCGAGAACAATCAAAAGAAAACCCTGACAATGAAAAGAAAACCTAACTGTCGCGATGAGCGCTGATCGCGCATGCCGGCAGCCGGCCACACACCGTCGTAAATCGTATACGAGTTTGCCCTCTCTACGACTTTGATCCATCCGCTTCGTCGTACGTCCAAGCCACTCTCGCCGTCGACGCCGGTGCCTTCGATTTGTCTGTGTTTTACGGCGCCACCAATCCTGCAATCCGGCCACGGCACCGTGTGCATTGGCATCTCTCGTCGTGAGGCAACAGGTTTGCCCTGCAATTTATATCACGCATGCATGTCTTTTCACTTATAGCATGTCTCTGCTCACACTCATCTAATTAGCATTAATTGATATGTAATACATTGTTCATACCTACTTGATATATGACATGAGTGTTTTATTGAATATATATATATATATATATGTATAGATTATTATTCAACTAGTAGACATATAACCTGCCTTTGTTAATTGGTGAGTTCGTTTGGAAGACACAGCCAGGAAATAAAATGATTATTGTTCATTAACATTTTTATACTAGTACAGATTCTTTCATCTGTGACGGCCCCTAACATGCCTGAAATTTGTGGGCCGTCACAAAGAAGTAATCTCAATCGGGCACACAGACAGCTAGATCGGCATAAAACTAGAGCCCGTCACGAATGACACTTATGTGTGACGGGCCATAGTTGAGGCCCGATTGAGATGATGGTTCAATATCTTAATCGGGCCCTAAAGGAAGCCCATCACAGATGACCGTCATCTGTGACGGGCTTCAACTAGAGGGCCGATTGAGATAAGTTTAATGCCCGTCACAGATGACTCTCTTATTTGACGGGCTTTTATTAAGGCCAGATAGAGATTACTTCTATGCCCGTCACGGTTAATTGTTTTAGGGCCCTTACAAATATTTGTTGCACAGTATAAATACCCCCCACCACCTAGTGTAATTGTATACTACTGTTCACTATTTTGGTGGGAGGCTATAGAGGGCGATTTTTTGTCTTTTTTCCAAGGAAAACAGAACATTACCAAAAGTGATCAAAATGGAGCACTCAAGTGAGTAATACTAATGATGAATTCAGCAATTTCATCATAACTTACTTTAGCAATACTGATATTATAATATGTGCCTCTAATTTATTTTTTTATTTTGTAGCAATGGATCGAAGTTGGATGTATGCGACAACTGTGAAACGTCATTTTCCGGAGTACAGAAATGGCGTAATAAAATTTATGAACGCCGCAGAGGAGGATAGGAAAAGAAGAAACAATGATTACATGCGTTGTCCATGTGCAGATTGCAAGAATGAGAATATGTTTGATAGCGAAGAGGTTGTACACGATCATCTGATACAACGAGGATTCATGAAGGACTATACATGTTGGGTGAAGCATGGAGAGCAAGAATCAGGAAGTGGTGCAGCAACAGACAGAAGTGGTGCGCATAATCAGGAAGATGAAGATGAGCATGACATGTTTATACCTTCTCCATTGGGCGGTGAAATGTGGATCACGATCTGCTACAAGACATGTTACGTGACGTTGAAGACCCAGCCCAGAATGAGAGAGATTTCATGAAGTTTAGCAGGTTGGTCAGTGATTCCGAGACGCTTCTGTACGCCGGATGCAAAGCAAAACACACAAAGTTGTCAGCGACCTTGAACCTAATGAAGTTGAAGGCAAGTAGTGGATGGACAGACAAGAGTTTCATAGATCTTTTAGGAATTTTGAAGACTATGCTTCTTGTTGAGAACACATTGCCCAAGACGACATACGAAGTAAAGCAGATTCTATGTCCACTGGGGTTAGAGGTCCGTAGAATTAACGCTTGTCCAAACGACTGCATATTGTACCACAAGCAATATGCGGACTTAGATGCTTGTCCTATCTGCAAGGCTTCTCGATACAAGCGAAGAGAAAGTGCTGACGAAGCAAAGAAGTCAAAGAGTGGTGGTCCGGCAAAGGTTGTGCGGTATCTAACTATCATTGATCATTTCAAGAGAATCTCTGCCAACCCCAACGAAGCGAAGTTAGTACGTTGGCACGCCACGGAGAGAAGGAATGACGGTATGCTTAGACACCTAGCGGATTCGATTGAATGGAGGAATATCGATGGAAAACACAAGGACTTAGCTGCCGACCCTAGAAACATTTGGATATGTCTGTGTACGGATGGCATGAATCATTTCGGTTACATGAGTAGTACTCACAGCACTTGGCTAGTTCTTATTGCGAAGTATAACCTCCCGCCATGGTTGTGCTTTAAACGGAAATATATTATGTTGTGCTTGTTAATCCAAGGTCCAAGGCAACCCGGCAAAGATATCGATGTATTCCCGGAGCCTGTTATCAATGATCTTGAGATTCTTTAGAAAGAAGGTGTGAAAACTTGGGATGCATATGGTCAGGAGAACTTCAAGCTAAGAGTTCTATTGTTCTGCACCATTAATGATTACCCTGCACTCGGTAATCTTTCCGAACAAACTATAAAAGGAAAAAAGGCATCTTCGACTGCAAGGAACATACACGAAGCCGGTGGCTGAAGAAATCACGAAAGATGGTATACATGGGTCATCGGAGGTGGCTCCCGCTACGTCACGCATTTAGAAGAAAGAAGAATATTTTTAACGGTAAGAGAGAACTTCAGCCTGCTTCCAAGGATTTGTCCGAAGATGACCTAGTGTTGGGGGATTTTTCTTTTTTCTTTTTTCCGAATCACAACGAACAGCACCAGGTTATGACCGCACCAACCTGGACGTCGATCCAATTGGTGTCCACATTTGTACGTTAATTGTAATAGCGCACACATCTTGACGCTGTTTCTAGTAACGTCCACCTTACTTTGGTAAATGTTATCCTCTAATTACTAATAATTTAATGTAAAGAATATTATTTATTATTAATTAAAAAATCGGCAAATAAGGGAAAGAGACCTGATTAATGGGAAGATAAAGAAAATCACTTATTACTCATTTTTGGAGAAGATGTTGCCGCAAGCAGTACTATAATACCCGAAATATATATGTTTGGGAACTCTTCGTAGATTTCGATTTCCCAACCGGTACGTATGGGGTGTACGGTTTGAAAAAAACTAGCCAGCTCGGCTCAGCTGAAGCTTCAAAGCCACCAAAATCGAATTAAAAAATCCAAAAAAAATTAAAGAGAATCAATAACTTCACATTACGGATCACAGAATCAAGCATTCATCAACAAGTTCATAACGCCTAATCAAACATTCAATAAAAATGGACAAGTCTAAAAAACCAAATTAAATGCACCAATCATGGTAGGGGATGTGACATCGCTTGCCGAGGAATCGCTTGCCACTTCCTAGCTGTGACCTGTCAAATCTCGACGCCTCCACGAGCAGGTGGAGGCCGGATCAGGCTGCCCCCCTGAGCCAGTTGTCGAGGAGATCTTCTGGCCGTCGCCGGGGTCGGGGTCACTCGGGACAGGCCACCATTGCTATCCGTGGACACAGCCCAAGGCCACCCTCCACCTCTTCGATAAGGTTTTTGCTCGGCTCGGCTCCTCAGATTTTTCTTTTCTTTTTGTAGCTGTTCGATTTATAAGAACCGTGCCAATTTTTATCTAACCGGCACCTTGTTGCTCAAACATGTCAGTTTTATTTTTTTTATCTTGATAAGGTGAGAATTAAATGTTAATAGCTAATAAGTATAGGTTTTAAATGAACCAACAGAGGTGATACCTATTTTGTAGTAGTGGCAATTCGAGGATGTCGTCGCCTGCTACCCTTACGCTAACTGACTGGAAGCAGTATGAGTGCACGACTAGCTAGATGGTATAGCTGCCCACATGCGAAGCGGCCCCACGGGCTATATGGGCTTGTTTAGTTTGGTGTCAAAATCAACCTTACTAAAATTTAGCTTCGTCAAAAAGTTGGCATATTTTGACGTTAACAAATTTTTGGTAGCATTGGATGTGTTTAATTTGTTGTCAAACCAATTCTTGGATTGTTTGTATGAGTTTCTAGAAATACCAAATTTTGGTAAGGTATCAATGGCAATAAAATATTTAGTTTGTTAGCTTACAATGTTTTCGTAATACGAAAAACTGCTAAGGTGGAAAGTGGTACCAAACTGAACAACCCTACACAGCCTGCGAGCAATGCCACAGTAGCGTAGCCGGCTACTTAGTGAAGAAGTGAAAGTTGAATCCACCATGATCTGTGCGGGAGGTGACCAAAACAGCGGAATGGGCTATCCTCCGGTTGTTAAAAGGCCTGTGATTCTAACACGGTTTAGGCCTTGGAATACAAGAATTTTCTCCGGTACCTTCAGTGGGGAAAAAGTGCACGCAAGGTCCCTCAACTTGTCATCGAGTAACAACGTCGTCCCCCAACTATAAAACCAGATATCTAGTGTCTCTTAATTAATCAAAACCGATCGCAATGATCCTTTGGTGGTTTTGACCCCAGTTTTATCCTACGCGGTGGCCGAGTCAGCGTGAGACCCACGTGAGCCCCACATGTCAGGATGCCACGTCATCTCTCTCCCTTCCTCCTCTCTCTCACTCTTCTCTTCTCTCAGCCGGTGGCTAGGGAGGAGCCCGCCTGGGCGAGGCGGGAGAGAAGGGCGACGCCGCGACGGCGGCCGCAGTGGGGAAGCACGGCGGAGCTCTGCGGCAGCCAAAGATGGGTGAGGGGGGCTCATGCCAGCGACGGCGGCGCACGCGCACGAGGGGAGTAAGGGTGTGGGCGTGGCGGCGGCGGCGTCGATGATGGAGACGTGTTGCTGCCGACGGTCCACTTCGGCGGGCTTTCCAGCAGCAGCGCAGGCCCGGAGGGCAACGTCGGTGACGAGACAGACCCAGGGGTGGCCGTCGGCGGGCGCGCGTGAAGATGAGCAGTTCCTCCAATATGTCGATGGACGAAGGTCAAACAAAATTGTTTTCTTTAGACACGATCCACCTGGACAGATCGAAGACAAGAAGATGTTATGGAGAGGCGGCGTGCGAAATCTTACCTCCATTATTCTTCTTGACATGAGACGCGAGACCCCGAGCTCAGTGGGTACAGGGTGTCATCGGTCTGCAGGGTTCCCCACGCAAGAACAGGATCAGGGACCTTTCACATTTAGTGAGAAAAAGGGGATGAAAGCGAGGGCACAAATCAATGGAGAGCAACATTTTGCAATAACTGGTAGCTTACCAAATAGCAGGAAGTCGAATTTGGGCTCTTGGACCTTTGTGGCAGTGCTTGTGGTGTGGGTGGAAAAAAACCGAAAATTTCTCCATAATCCAAGACCCTGTCCTGCTATTTATTCCTCGCCGTTGTCGTCGTCATCCGAGCAACCGGAGGTGGCGGCAGTGACGTCGAAGCGGCAGTAGCAGTTGCTGCTGCCATGGTGAGGAAGAGGAAGCTGCCAAGATGGCGGAGCGACACGCTCCTTTGAGAAGCACGGCGGAGCTCCGCGGCGGCCAAAGATGGTAGGGGGCTCATGCCGACGACGGCGGAGAACGCGCACGAGCAGAGTAAGGGTGTGGGCGCGCTCGGCGACGGCGGCTGTCCCTCTCGCTCCACAGGCCGGAGGCGGCGACGTCGCTGCTGATGCAGCAGTAGCAGCAGCACAACCACCACCACCTCCACCACCAGCCGTCGCCACCGGCGGGCGCGGCGTCGACGTGGCAGCTGCAGCAGGGCGCGTGGCATCTCCGCGGCTCAAGGTCCCTCCTCCCGACGCAGCAGCTCTTGCAGGAGTTCTCCAGCCTCCTCGTGAAGAGCATCACAACCCATCATCGGCAAGCAAGGCACCCAAGCTAGCCACTTCGCCTTGCTCGCCAGTGGCGGCCCCCCCCCCCCCCCCCCTGGCGACGCCACCCAGCTGCCTGCCCAGCCTCCTCCCGTGCACGCCTGTCGCTCGTGGAAAGGGCAGGAGAGAGGAAGGAATAAGAGGCTGACATACGGGTCTCACGCTGACTCAGCCGTCACGTAGAACAAAACCCGAGTCAAAATCACCGAAGGATCTATTGTGACCGGTTTTGATTGTTAAGAGACGTCAGATATCTGGTTTTGTGGTTGGGGGACAATTTTATGACTCGATGATAAGTTGAGGGACCTTCGGTGTACTTTTTCCTTTCAGTGGAACATACACGTGCTTCCCAAGTTAGAGATAGGGGGATTGCAGTGGCCGAGCCAAGGCCTGGACATCATGGGCCAGTGCTCGGGCTCTGCCAAACGAACGAGTGATTGCCCCAGCTAAATTATGAGACAAACCAGTGATTACCCTAGCTAGGTTACATGGCAAATCAGTAAGGAATGTATGAGTGCTTACTGCCCAACTAAGTTATATCTTGAAATGTTTTTTTTCTCACAAATCACAATTCAATAGTGTTAACTTTTGTTGCATTATGTTTAAAAAAATTTGTTGCATAATGACAAATGACTCATAAAGTAGTATGAACATGTGTGTTACCATTAGAATTTCCTGGGCTCTAAAAAATTTCTAGATGGATCACTAAGAGGGAACAAAGTGGTACAAGGGCAGCGTATAATGCCACGGGAGGTAAAGCACAACAGAACACTCAAACCATACCTGACGATGACCTTGATACAGTCACCTACACACTATACAAGAGGCGACTACAATACATCACGATATAGCGGAACGACGACTAACCTTCCAATTATTGACCATCTAAGACATGCCAGATAATGATACAGGAACACACGATATTATTTGTTAACGAAGTTCAGTCGAATCCTACATCTCCCGAGCTCTTATTATGTACGCTCGTCCCAACCAATATAGTACTTAGCCGTTACGAGTAAATGGTCTCACCGCCATCCTCTTCCTGCGTGACTATGCTATATTTTAGTTGCCATGCTTATATTGTAGTGCCTTGCTCTCTATTTAAGAGAGTTGCCAGGTTACAGAGTTCGACTCTAATTTCACCCCCGCGCCACCTATTACAACTCCAAGTCTAACTGTAACCAAACAGGACTAGTATATTCGACACATAATCTAGCAGGTACAACTCACCAAATTCAAAACCTCAAAATGTAAAGATATAACATCATCATTCATTAACAATTACTACAATTAAACATCATACAAGTAATGTTATATTATCTATAATTTTATAATTTATTAAATTTTAGAGCTTTAAAATGCTTGCATGTTAAATCATCATGGCATATAATTCACATAATATTTCAATATAACTCTCTATTATTTTTTATAATATCCGATATACCTATTTAGTTCATCATCACTCAGTTAATACTACTATTTCTCTCCTCTCTCTAAGCCATATCACATAATTTTTTCAGTCCCTAGATGACTAATTTATGGTACAAATTATCTCCCTCATTTTCTTCACCTCAATTGTTTTTAGCCCTTAATGATTAATATATGGGAAACATATCCTATGCACACAAGCTCTCACGTGTACACACGTGCACACCAACTAACAAATATCACCAAAAAATCTAGAAAAAGTCATACATGTTATTTCAATAGTATTACACCCAGGCATAAAATCTTAACCTCAAATTCATTATAATTTTTAGCCGTAACAAAAAAAAATCTGATAATTTTAAGGTTATAATTCTGTTAGAATTTTGTCTTTTTTCTTACTCTCTATGTAGAATGAAATTGAAGATGCGACTTTGCACGTAGATGAAATACTATTGGAAGTAAATGTATGATTTTTTCTAGAATTTTTTGTGATAATTTTTAGTTGATCTACACGGTGTGTACACGCAAGGGCCTGTGTGTATAGGATACGCTCCCTAATATATGATCTAAATTATCTTCCCCATTTCTTCTCTCATAATTTAACTTTGATAAATTTAAATGATCATAAACCACATCAAATTATATTGTCTAGCTATCTTACATATCTTTTTATTTATTATTATCATAATAAATTCTCATACAGCATCACGTGGGGTTTCACTGGTACAAGGAAAAAAAACGGTCGAGCTACGGAAACAATCCAGCCATTTTTCAGAAAGTGAATCGTACCAAATCGAATTATTTAGAATCTGCTGGTGTCGGGAAACATTCTGAAAAATACACGCTCAGTGCTGCCAGACTTTTGAATGCTATTGCAGCGGATCTCTGTTTGATGTGTCAATGGCTTAAAGAATACTATGTAGAGTGAATATAGGTGGTGTTTAAATTTCGTGAAGATGAAAATAAAGGTAAATATTAAGTGGATCACGTAAAACGATGTGATGTGTGATTAATTGAGTTTTAATTACTACAAACTTAAGAAATAGATTAATATGATATTTTAGAGCAACTTTCATATAGAAAGTTTATATACGAAAAGTACCGTTTAGCCGTTTAAAAAATGTATCATGAGTATCTAAAATTTTATCCTCCGCTTGTAGAAGAAACGAACAGAGCCATAGTCACTCCAATTTGCCGTCCACATAAAAAGACTGCAAAGGATTGAGCCAAGCCCCAAGCATAAAGAAAACCGAAATTTGCCCACAATTTTGTCCGTTTGGACACACCGTACAAAATTACAGACGAAAACTATTAATGGCATCGATCTCAACAGGAAATGCATCTAAGACAATTGAGCCCCCTGATGTTTGCATTTGACAGTTGACACGACCTTGGCGTTGATATGGCAAACCTGTTTACCTGTCCACTGCCGCGGTGCACCACACCCTTCACCGGCAATTCCACAACAGCAAGCTAGCGCTTTCCAAGTTCCAGCAATGCCGCCGCGAGGTCAGACATGGCGAGGGACTAGAGTGTATAGTGGCGGCAACTACCACAACCGCGAGAGCCTAGGACGTTGCCGGCCGGCTCGCCGCCCGTGAGCTAGGCCTGCTCCGGGGCCTAGTCCCTCGGCCACACATGAGCTGATGAAGCGTATTCAAGATCACCTAAGCACGGTGGACTCCCAGTTAAAATAAATGATTGTGAAGTACTCTCTCCGTTTCTAAATATTTAAATATTTGACATCGTCAATTTTTAGTACATGTTTGATCGTTCGTCTTATTCAAAAACTTTTATGAAATATGTAAAACTATATGTATGCATATAAGTATATTTAACGATGAACTAAATGATACAAAAAGAATTAATAATTAACTTTTTAATAAGACGAATGGTCAAATATATTTTAAAAAGTCAACGGTATTAAATATTTAGAAACGGAGGTGGTTGTTGTATTTAGTTAGTTCGCTACATACGTACTTACATAAAAAGTTGGCATTACAAAAGTCAATATTTGTGTGGTAACCGGGCAAGCGACGTGGACATGGAATCTGATCTGATGGGCAGCCATGTGTGATGACATCGAAAGAAATATTCACTTCCAGCCTCGTGGTCGTGGAGAGGTCTCACGTCGTAGTCACGATCGAAGATGAGATGCAACGGTGACTTTGACCGGCAAAGTCTTTGGATCATCGTCTTTGTTGGAAATGGTCAGTGTGCATTCAGGCATCGATGATCTGTGATCCATGTGTTAGCTTTTGCCAGTTAAAAGTGCATCTATATTACCTGTTCTAAATTTATATGGATAACTTAATTACAAGGAGTATGTGCTGGTGGATTTTTAGATAATTTGATCGTCGTTGTAAAATCTTAGCAGCTCTACCTCAAATTAGTTTTCTTCAAACACTCCCGCATAAACTAGTAGATAATTAACCAATTTGGAACATGTGCCAGAAAGCAAGCTAAGCTAGGGCAAAGAAAGTGGTCCAGACTAAAATTTACTCTAAAATTAACACTAAAGATACAGTAAGCGAAGACTTGTTCAAGTCGTTGGGTCTTTTTCTTATATTTAAAAGAAAGTTTGTCTAGTGTCCATGTTGGATTCATCTCAAATTCTCAACGCTGGCTCTACTCATCTTCATATACAAGCACAAGTCCATAATCACCTATCAAGAAACAGAGGTTTAAGACACAAACAGATAGCTAGGACTAGCTAGTTCATCCATCCACCATGACTAGCCACAGAGGACTAACAACAACAACGCTGTGCCTCGCCATAGCGATTGCTGCAGAGCTCCTCGCTGGGAGAGCAGAGGGGCAATGCCAGAACACCAAGTGTGGCGACGTTGAGATCCCTTACCCATTCAGCACCAGCTTGGACAAGTGCGCCGCGTCCGCCTTCGAATTCGACTGCAACGACACCGGCAACGGCGTCTACAAGCCCTTCTACGGAAATGTGGAGGTGCTCAGCGTCTCCCTCCAGCTTGGCCAGGTCCGGGTGATGAATCACATCTCCTCTTCCTGCTACAACTTATCTTCTAAGGAGATGGACTCCGACACGTGGCAGCTCAACATGACTGGCACGCCGTTCATGCTCTCCGACTCCAACAAGTTCACGGTCGTCGGCTGCCGGACACAAGCCTACATCGCCGACCAGGATTACGTGGGGAAGTACATGAGCGGGTGCGTGTCCGTGTGCCGGCGAGGTGATGTGTGGAAGGCGACAAACGGCACCTGCTCCGGGATAGGCTGCTGCCAGACGGCCATCCCAAAGGGCCTGGATTACTACCAGGCCTTCTTCGACGACAGCAGCATGAACACGTCGGGGATCTACAACCGCACCCCCTGCAGCTACGCGGTGCTAATGGACTCCTCCAACTTCACCTTCTCGACCACCTACTTGACTACATCGGAATTCAACAACACCTATGATGGCCGGGCGCCTATGGTGCTCGATTGGGCCATCCGGAGCGCCAACAGTTGTGAGGAGGCATGGAAGAAGATGGACTCTTACGCGTGCAAAAGTACCAACAGCGAGTGCTTCAACTCAACCAACGGACCTGGCTACACCTGCAACTGCTCCAAAGGGTACGAAGGCAATCCTTACCTCGAAGGACCCAACGGCTGTCGAGGTGAATTTTCCTATAATCCCATCAATACTACATCTAGAATTCTAAAATTGTGACAGTTCATATGAAATAGCTTTCAGCGTGTAGCTTTCATGATTTTGTTTTCTTACTCCATCCGGCTATATTTTTAAGAAATAAGTTTAGTTGGTCCATTTATAAAATTTCCAATACATAGTCTGTTTATGATTCTGACTTTTTTCCATTAATCCCATTTCATATTTGAAATTCTCCCACGTTTCCATTTTCCAGATTACCAAATTCTTTTCCCCACATCTTACAAATTCGTCATTTTTATTTTGTAGATATTGATGAATGTCAAGATTCCAAGACTCATCATTGCTATGGAGAATGCCGTAATAAACCTGGCGGTTTTGATTGTAACTGTCCAGCGGGCAGCAAAGGAAATGCTACCATTCCAGATGGATGCCGAAAAGACTTCCGCTTGCCGCTAAAAGCACGACTGGCAATTGGTAGGCACATGTTTTACAATCTCTTTTTTTTAAGACTATGTTTTACTGCTGCATATCTGGTCGACATCCATGTTAAAACCTACACATGCTCAAATATTTCCACTAATGTCAGATATTTGTTTATCCAGGAGCGGTTATCTGCGTATTAGTTGGCCTCTTTAGTTTCCTTGGATGGGAAGTGATACGCCACAAAAGGAGCATAAAAAAACAAGCACTATTAAGACAGACTCATGAATTTTTTCTACAGCATGGTGGCCAGCTACTTCTGGAAATGATGAAAGTAGAGGGTAATGTTGGATTCACCCTCTATGAGAGAGGGGAGATTGAGACTGCCACAAGTAACTTCAACAAGGAACACATCATCGGTGAAGGTGGCCAGGGAACTGTTTATAGGGCGGCCTTGAACGGAGTTAATGTTGCAATAAAAAAGTGCAAGGAGATCGACGAGAGCAGAAAGATGGAATTTGTGCAGGAGTTGGTCATACTTTGCCGTGTCAGGCATCCCAACATTGTCAAGCTACTTGGATGTTGCCTCCAGTTTGAGGCGCCCATGCTTGTGTACGAGTTCGTGCAGAACAAAACACTACAAGAGTTACTAGATCTCCATAGGAGCAAGAGGTTCCATGTAACTCTTGGAACCCGCATGAGGATCGCTGCAGAATCTGCCGAGGCACTTGCGCATCTTCACTCGTTGCCACACCCTATAATCCACGGCGATGTGAAACCATCCAATATCCTACTTGCTGAGGGATTGATCGCAAAGGTGTCTGACTTTGGCTGCTCGACAATCGATGAGAATACTCAAGCTGTACCCAAAGGAACACCAGGGTATATTGATCCAGACTACCTACTAGAGTACCAACTCACATCTAAGAATGATGTATATAGTTTCGGAGTTATTCTTCTTGAGCTTCTAACTAGTAAGAAGCCGCTGTCAAAAGATAGGAAGAGCCTCACCTTGATGTTTCAGGAGGCAATGGCAGAGGGCACACTCTTTGAGCTCCTTGATAGTGACATGGTTGATGAAGCTAGTATGAGAGTGATGCATCAGGCAGCTGTTCTAGCAAGTCAATGCTTGGTTGTTCCAGGTATGACAAGGCCGACAATGGTGCTGGTGGCAGCGGAGCTCCGGCGCCTAGCACTAGCTGATGAAGTGCAACAATGCCCACAACCGCCGCTTGTACTTGAGGATTTGAGCTTTGTGGAGATGGGAAGCACAACCAGTGGAGTTTATAGCCTTGAGAAGAAAGCTGTGTTGAGCATAGAATTTGCAAGATGATCTATAGACAGTTTGTTGTATTGATTCCCGCGCGTGGTTTGTAGGTGTGTGTTAGATTGAGTTTTCTTCCTAGTGATGAACTGAATCTGTAAAATAGCATAGTAGCATTTAGGTGCGCTTTAGAATTAAAGATAAACATAGTTGTAATAAAATAACTAGTGATGGTATTTATACAGTTCCAAAGTGAGCACAATTTAATTGGTTTGGTTACACTACTACACAAATGTTTTCTAGGACGAGCATCCCAATAGGTTGCAGGCATACCATAAATGCCCGCATCTGCAAAAATCGACCCCCCCATTTTCGCATACGCTTCTTAAGAGGACCGCATGCAAAAATAAGCCTATTTTCACATGTGGTTCTCTTAAGTAATCTGCATGTGAAAAAAGACCCACTCGTTTTCTTTTATTCTCCCCTCCTTGCTCTCTCCTACTAAGTCCTCCTCTTCCCACTCTCTTCTCCTCCACTCCTCTCTCGGCCCTCCTGGCCTCCTCCTCTTCTCCCCCACTCCATCCCAACGGCGGTGGATGGCTCGTGCGACAGGCGCGAGCTCTAGCAACGGCGGTGGGGGAGGGCATAGGAGGTGTGCAACGGAGGCGGCGGCAGTTCCCCACGGGGAGAACAGTGGAGGAGGCACCCATCGGCGGCCCTCCCGCCACGTGGATCTGAGGACGGCAGTCCCCCCATGCGCGGATCCAGAGGCGGCTGCCCTCCCCCGCGACGACGATGACCTCGATAGCGACAATGACGAGACGGCCTAGGTGGAGGCAGCGGTCTAGGGTTTCGAGTGGCGGTGGCGACTAGATGGTGGCAAATCTAGGGTTTCAGGGTAGGGTTTGGTTTTTTTTTTGTTTTTTCACAGACGGGTGACTTAAGCGCCCGCACCCACATGGAAAAATGACGATTTTTGCACATACCTGGGTGCAGATGGGTCAGGGCCCGCACGCGAAAATTTGTTTAGGCCGTCTGGAAAAATTGTTTATGTACTAGTGTTATTTATGATGGGACATGCCTTTCCGTGTCTGCTCATTTTTTGGCTAATTATTATTTTTAATGCCAGTCGATGTACTTATTGACATTGATTTTTTTTAAAAAAAAGTTATATAGTTGAAAGAGAATTCTTTATCTCCATGTTCATCACTCATCAGTCTTGTATATCGTGTGGAGCCAAACAAGTTGCCGCACCAGTCGTGGATGCAATCTGATCGAGGCTATACAAGTTTCGACGAGCTAACATACGCTTCTTGTTTAGGTGTGATTGGCTTTCTTACCTTTCTGCTTAAAATAACCCGAGGTAGGTAGCTTGATGGGGTGGCCTTCACAGCTCGTTGTTCCACCCACGTTCTGATTTGCTTTGCCGAGAAATAATTGATGGCTTCGAGAGGTGCCTGCCGCGTACTCTGTCTGCGTCTCAAGAAAAGCCTCTAGCGGGCGACGACTTGACTTGACACGGGAATGACCGTCCACGCGCGCCGGGCCAGGTTGACGCGCAATAGTGCCCACCAACACTGTGACGCCGAAACCGTTTTTTTTTTTTTTTTTTGAGAACCAGGAATTTATTAAACTTAGAAGCATAGTACATGCTTGAGAGTACAATTAAGGGACTCGAAATGATTGAAAAGAATTCTAGCACAACAGTCCCTTGTTGGATAGGCAATATGGGAAATGTTTTGACAATTGAAGATTAGTGCCCACCGACACTGTGACGCCGAAACCGCTAATTAGCAGTTGGCTGCGCGTCCTTCTTCCGCGTGGACAGGAAACTCGTCGCTCGTTAGCTCGTTCGACTCGCGACAAGATGGACTTAGCTTGGATCGACTCGTTTCATTTTTCTGACGAACCGAGCTGACATTTTAACTTGTTATATATAATGAGCCAACTCGAGCTAGCTCGCGAGCTACTAGCCTTAACAAGCTAGACTAACCCTACCTTAGCAGGTCACAGGCCCACAGTCACATAGCACGTAGGGCTATATTTTTGGAAGACCGAGCCCAATAGAGCATCAATCAGATCAAAACCCTAGTCACCCCATCCGATCGTGCCTCTGTCTCCACTCTCTTCATCCCTCTGCCGCCCTAGCGTAGCGCCGTAGCTGCATTGCAGAGCGCGACCACTGCGCGCCCCCACATCTCCACCGCTTTGCCGCCACGCGCCCGTGCATCTCCTTCTTGGGCACATCTCCTTCTTGGGTACAAAAGTTGTAATATGTAATGAAATGGAATTAATGCAGGGTGTCATAGACTGGATTTGTGTAAAGCACTCCTATTTTCTGGCGTGGTATGAAGCAATGTAGCGGAGCTTGAGCCGGTTTGGCTCTGCACGAATTTTATGTGATTTGCTGCTTTTTTTTCCTTCTTTCTTAATGTACACTATTTGAGTTTTTTATTTGCAAGCTATTTTCCTCTTGTTAGGTCAGTATTTGATGCATTGGCTCACGAGCTAAATGATCAAGCTCGAGCTTTGCAACGAGTCGAGCCGAGCTGGGTATTTAGCTCGTGATAATAACTACTTAACGAGTCGAGCTAAGCCAACTCGTTAATTATCTTAACGATTTAGATCGAGTTGAGCTGACTCGCTATCCACCCTACGCGCGGCACAGCCATGTGGCGCGCGAGGAGACCCTGGCGGCGGGAGGGCGCGTGGTAAGGTGACATGTGGCGGTTTTTTCTCGCTTTTCTTTTTTTTCTAGGTTTTTCTTTTTTCCTTTTTTTGTTTTCTAATATTTATATATATAGCACATATACAAACTTTGTATAAGTAGCGTTCTTTTGGTTTTTTAATACGTACGTATACAAATTTTATATACGCACATAATAATGCATATATTTTTTTTACACATTGAAATTTTACCGTACACCGAGTTGCTTGAAGGCTTTTGAAGCCCAATCGTACATTCGTACCGCTCGAGCGGAGGACCGAGGACACGTCGGCGGTCCAGAGGCCCAGAGCACAGTGTTGCAGCCCACATGCCGATTGTATAGGCCGGCTGAGAAAAATTCCAACTCGGGCACTACAAAATAGACTTTTTTCTTTCTCCTGTCCCAATTGAGTCCACTTCGAGCTGGCCCAGTGGACGGGAGTGCCTGGAGTGGTCCAAGCAGTGGAATACTGGAATGGGGCGCCCCTAATGCGCGATCAGTCGCGCGGTCACGCGGGCACGCGACCATCAGATCCACTACTACTACTCGTACACTACTACTATAACTCATACACTACGGGTTTTGGTACAGCTCCAACTCCTAAATATAACTCCAGGAGTTGAGTCTGGAGTGGAGTTGTGGAGCTGCCTAAACCCAGCTCCACAACTCTAGCACATTTTGTGAGAGAGCTTCACCTAACTCCACTTCCAATTTTGGTGGAGCTGAAACTATTTGGCTGAGCTCCAGCTCTAGGAGGGGTGGAGCTGGAGCTGGAGCTGTGCCAAACAGGCCCTACTACTGCTACTACTACATGTATATATATATATATATGTACATGTATATACTTTGTATACATACATATAAATTTGTATTATTGTATACATATGTATAAATTTTGTATTAATAATATAAAGTTTCTATATATGTATACAAAATATATACATACGTGTATATATAATTTTTATGTGTACCAAAAATCGATGTATACAAAATATACACATATACAAACTTTATATACACGTGTACAAACTTTGCATACGCGTATACAAACTTTACATACGTATATATAAACTTATATAAACTTTGCATATATGTATACAAACCTTGTATATGTACATATTAAAAACCGAGAGAAAAAAATACGAATACAAAGTTTGTATACGTATGAATACAAACTTGGTATAACACGAATACAAACTTTGTAATATGTACATCTTAAAAAAAGGGGAACCAAAAACGGAAGAGAAACGAAAAAAACAAAAAAAAAGGGAAGAGAAATGAAAAAAACAAAAAAAACGGAAGAGAAACGAAAAAAACCAAAAAAAGGGAAAAATCGCTCCTCAGTCGCGGCGCGCCGTCCGCCGACCTCTCCGCGCGCGACACATGTCCAGTCGCGCGGAGGAGGGCGCGCGCAACTAGCCGCCCCTTAGCTTTTTCGACTGGAATGGGCTGGCCTCTTGTTGGAATGCTTGCTTGCAACTTTCAGCAACCCACTCTATAGCTCACTTGCCTGTCCTTTCTAGTGTAGTTATCAAGATTGGATCGGATATCGACGGAAGATATAGGGTGGAAACAACGTATCTATAGTAATAACCTGAAAACTACCGTTGAATTAAAAATTGAACGTCTGAGATTCGTCCACGTCATAACGAGTAAAAAATTTTACTCATAGATTTACTCATGACGTGGATGAATCTTAGACGTTTATTATTCGATCCAACGATAGTTGTTTCCACAACATATATGGTTTGCACTATATATATTTTCTCGGATATCGAACTGGTCAAAGGCCTCGATTCATGAAAATCGATTTTTACTTCATGAAAATATATATCGCTCTGCAGTATTGCGATCGATCAAGCGACAAATTAATTAGAAACCACTTGGCGCAAGAGTACTGGAGATCGAAGGATTATGATCAATTCAATGTCTTTTCCTAAGCAACAAGAGGAGGAAGCGAATCAAGAACTCTCCCAAGTGATTTCCATGAGCCATTCCACTCGACCACCCGTCCATTCATCACACAGCTCAGCTCCCAACTCCCTGTCACAGCTCCACGACTAGTTCCGGCAACAGCCAGCTGGCCGTGCCGATCGACCAGGCGTCTCGCCAGGCCACATGTTTTTTCCCGGTGTGTTTACTCCCATTTATTCAAAGTAGCAGTAGCAGTAAAAAAATTGGGTTCCCATCTAAAGCACTGACGACAATTAAAAAAAGGGGTATTCAAGTTTTCACAAGGGAATGAAAATCTGCTTGTATTAATTATTGGCACAAAGTTTTTACATATGACAGAAAATTACCGTCAGAAAAACGTACGAAATCATAAAAATGTTGCGTATACACCCTAATTTTCTAGGCAAGAAAAAGATGCATAATAGTCCATGTACCCCCTAAACTCTTGATATAAGTCTATCTAGCATCTTAAACATTGAAATGAGACATCTAACCTCCTCTAAACTAACTTTGTAATACCGTTCAAATTACTCTCTAGCATTGTTTTGGATGGTAGTTTTGGGTATCTTGGAAACTAAATGAGTGGTTTTGAATATAGCAGGTTTACACATCATCGTCAATAATAGGTCGCCAATATATATTCTATAGTGATGTCACCTTACTATTATATTAACATCTGTCTACATTAAATGAGAACAAAAAAATAAGGGTTAAAAAGTCAAAACTAAAGATTTAGGTGGATATTTTAACGCATATGTCCAATTCATATATCACGTAATAAAACTCTCATCCAACGTATACGTAAATCAGATAGAAAGCTATCTATAAAACCTGGTCAAGGTGCTAGATGGATTTTCAACCAAAATTTAGGGGGTTATTTGGACTTTCTCCTATGAAAATTGAGTACTAGTACGAAACTGTGAAGGCTCCTGCAGATACTAAAATCCACTGAAAGCTACGTTGAAGGCTTATACCCCCTGGCAAGACTTGAAAATTCAAGTCACGCATGCTAGTTTGTTTCACACATACACTATCATCAAGCCGTTTGGTCATTTCCACGCCAGTGCGTATAAACGCCAGTGCATATAAACGGTCAGGAAGACGCCGGATCATCCGACAATTGACGAGTTATTGAGCCATGCAGCTCCAGAAATTAGCAGCAATATTGTTGCTAATTAGTATAGGCCATTCGGCACTGCTCGCCGCCGTTGGAGCGCCGCCGCCGCCTCCTGGCAGCAGCAACTGCTCGACGGCGTGCGGCGGCGTCGATATCCCCTACCCGTTCGGCATCGGCCCTGCAGGCTGCGCGTTGCCCGGCTTCGAGCTCACCTGCCGCGACACCAACAATGGCGGCAAGAAGCCATTCTTGGGGCACGGCGGACACTTCGAGCTGGCCGGCGTGTCCCTGTCCGATGGTCAGGCCCGCGTGTGGAACAACATCTCCTCCTACTGCAACGACACCTCCCAAACCATCATGGATGTGGTGAGCTTCGCTGATCCGTACAGGCTCTCTCAGGCCGGCAACACGTTCGCCGTCGTCGGGTGTCAGGCGGTGGCCGTCGTCGGGGTCGGAGATTCCGCCGATAACATCGTGCGTTTCCTGAGCGGGTGCGTGGCGACCAACTGCGGGCGACGCGGCGATCGCCTCGCCGACGGCGCCTGCTCCGGGGCAGGCTGCTGCCAGACAACGATAACGAAGGGGTTTAACGCCTACCAGGTCGAGTTCCAGAACTACTCGACAGTGTTCAACAGCTCGAAGGATATCTACAACGTCAGCCGCTGCAGCTACGCGGCGCTGATGGAGTCGTCGAGCTTTAGCTTCAGGAGGAGCTACGCGACATCGTCGGAATTCTTCGACGCCAACGGCGGGAGAGTGCCCGTGGTGGTCGAATGGGCCGTCCGGAACGCGAGCAACTGCGTGGAGGCGCGGAAAAACCGAGAATCGTAAGCCTGCGTCAGCATGAACAGTGCGTGCGTCAACTCGTCCAGCGGACCAGGCTACATCTGCAACTGCGCCAAGGGATTCGAGGGCAACCCTTACCTCTAGGGATGCACGTGGGTCGGGCTGGGTCGACCCAAGGTCTGACCCACGATACCCAAGGCGGTGATTTGTGGGTCATGGGTCAAGTCGACCCACAAAACATGCTTAGCCCACTGACCCAAGAGCCATCCATGGGCGGCCCGCGGCCAACAGCAGCAAGCAAACTGGACCGCATCATACAAGCAAAATGACAGCAGCACAGCAGCACGCAGCACAGCAGCGCGCAGGCATCATACAAACCAAAAATTCGTAGATGATTAATCATTTGACATCAGCTGAAATCGAACAAATACAAGCAAATTGTAGAGCTGAGGATGCAGAGTCAGTTATACAGGTAAATGATACTATTGATAAAATCATCGCCATCAGATGCATAAGGGGTTTCTTGGTTCATAAAAAACTGAAACTAATCATTTTTCAATAGCAGATTTGACCAAACAAATGGTTACAATTATCATTAGGTCATCAACATATCTATTGTCAAGAACATGAGTTGAGGATAAGTCTTTGACATCTCAGCATAAATAGGTGCAATGACACGACATGGTCCACACCAGGAAGCACTGAAATTTTCCACAACCTACAAAACAAAACAGTGAGTATGTCAAAGGTACTAGTTTGCATCAAGAATTTACCAAGTGGATGAGAATGCAAGTGATATTCAGAACAGCTGAGAGTACAATATAATGTTGTTCAACTTGTTTGGATGAGATACAAAATCAACATAAAACAGTCCTAAGTAACAGACAAATGAGGTTTGAATCTTTTACAAACAAACTAGAACAATGGAAAAAAACAGTTCTACACATCAGCATAACTAGAAATGATGTACAGGGTACTAGATAGAATATCTGAATGCAGTTTTCATGGATCATTTCTGTCTTAATAACTAGAATATCAGATTTTTTTCACTCTCATCCAGAGTCAGTTATACAGGTGCATTTCAGTAGCAGCTAATTGATGCCAATAGTAATTATATGTCAGGTAAAAGCCTGGAGCACAAACAGAGCTATCGAACAGTAAAAGCCTCATTACATAACAATTTCCGGTAAACAACACGATTACTAATGCACTGGAATTACCTATCAAGGCATCAAGTTTCTTCTTCTTGTGATAAGACCATCCCAACAGAAGGGCCTAGAACATTAAAAAAACAATTAACTACATAAACTCAATTGGCACTGTCATACTAATAGTTTTCAAAGAAAAGGGGATAGACTTACAATCAACGACTCTCATCCAATCCTGTAGACAAATGAGAGCCTCAACTATCTCAGGCGTCAATCTACTTCTGTAGTCATTGATTACCCTCCCTCCTGTACTGAAAGCATTTTCAGATGGAACCGTTGATGCTGGAATGGCTAACACATCACGTGCTATGTGTGAGAGTACAGGATATTTTAGTGAGTTTGCCTTCCACCAGGTTAAGATATCAAAATCATCAACTCGAGGCAGTATATCTTCTTTATAGTATAGCACCAACAACGATCTGAGGGGTCTCCATGCTTTGACCACCTTCTGCATACCAACAACATAACATATTGCAAAAATTAATTTCATTATTACGCACTTAATCAACATCAGCAAAAAAAAATACAAATTGTTAATGCCAAGGAATAATACGATCCATTTACACACTTCTACCCTGGCCACCGGCTAATCGAGTCACCGGCTGGCCTGGCAATAACTGAAAGCATCCTACCAGCAAAATTTAGTGTTGTGTAGGCGTGTAGCACATACTTGCAAAGATATAACTAGAGTTTCTTTTGGAGTAGTATCTATTAAGGAGGAGTAGTATCATTGTTGGCTCTGCTGCCGTACAAAATCAACCTAAAACCGACAAACTGATAGGAACCAAGTACCATTGCTAGCATTAGTATTCAAACATAAGGCCAAGCAGAAATTTCTAGATACTATTCAGGAGGTCACTAGAGAGTAGAGACATATTAGGCAGGAAAAGACCAATTTCTCATTGTCTGTAGAAAAATCTTAAGGCAGCCAAGGAGACAAAATCTACCTCTGCTTAAACAGGTCCAAAAGAAACAGATCAAGGTCCAGGGCAAACTGAATCACAGTTCTCACTATAATCTGATGATACTCACGTTTCCTTTTGGAACCTGACTTAGCTTTCATTGAATCTTTGCCCTTCAGGAACTGATTCTAAATCTATGCCAAATTCCCAATATAATGCACACGTCCAATCAATTCCTCCCAATTTCTTGATTCAAAGCAAATAGAGAATCTTGCATACCTGCAGCATCAACACATGTTGAGGTCCGTCGTTGGCGGCGGCGCGGCGAGAGTGATGCTGGGTGTGGCGCTGAAAGGTGGAGCATCCGCCCATCTGATCCATCCCCTTCTTCTATGGCCGGTTGGGAGGTCTGCTGGTGGCGGCTACGCGGCAATCTTGGGGGTGCGCATGGCGCTGCAGGGAGGAGAAACGGAGCATCCAAGCGGCGATCTTGAGGGTGCGCATCTCGCTCTTCCATGGTAGACGGCAACGGCGGAGGGGCGGAGCTCCACAACATGATGCGGCGGAGGAGCGGAGAGCCCCAGCGCGATGCGGCGGCGGCGGAGCTGGTCGTGCCGCCTGGTACTCGACCTGAAACCTAGCTAATGGGTCGGCCCATAATGCTCCATGGGTCACTGAGGGTCGACCCATGATGACCCATGAAATTTCATGGGTAAGCCCATGAGGTTTTGACCCCATGTTTCATGGGCTGGGTCGCTGGGTAGCTGGGTTAACCCGACCCATGTGCATCCCTACTTACGAATTTTTTTCGTTTTTAGATTTTTTTTAATATTTACAGAAATAATCTATCGACCAAAAAAATTGCAGAAATAGCCCCTGCCGCCCATACAGAGGGCGGCAAGGGGCTAATTGCAATTTTGGCCGCCCATAAAGAGCTTGCGGCCGTACTTTTTCATCTGGGTCCCTTGCCGCCTCAATAGAGGGCGGCAAAGGACCCAGATGAAAAAAGTACGGCCAAAAGATTTTTCTATGTTATGTTAATAATAAATAAAGAAGTATTTATTGGTAAAACTTGTTAATATTGTTATAAAAATGTGTTGAAGTTGGTTGTTGCGCAATTTCATATGTTAAGTGAGGTATTATTTTGTTCCTTATTCGACGTATTAGTACTCGGATAATTTATATAGGCCTATCGCAGTCTGGGTCGTAGAAACATTATATGGACTTAAACAAGGAGAATTATGTAACATGAAGAAATAGTAGTACAATTTGAACATGATACAACTATTTGCATTGCGGTTACATAGATGATATTAGATTCGAACTAGGAGGGAGGTAGTGCAATAGTTGAACACAACGACGATGTAGTAATGGGACAAGGAAGCATGACAGTAGAAATTTCAATATGCCCCTAACATGTGAACGTGGTGGGGTATGGTGGGTACGCTTGATTGGCACCGAAAGATACATGCATGATCGGCGCCGAAAGTTACATTGGTCGTATGCGCCAAATGGCGGGCAAATACTCGTATCACACGCGAATAAAGGAGGCTGCATCGGTGCGGCAGAAAGTAGTCGTGCATGCGCCGAAAGGTATCGTGCATGCGCCAAAAGGTATCGTGCACATATAACAACAACGTAGTCATTACACAAGCATACAGTTCTGGAAAGTGAAGCAAGTAAACAAAGAGAAGACTGCTCTACTGGCGCTGCCCCGCGCCGCGACCACGCTTGGTCCTCCGGGCCTGTGCTCGCACGTGGTCCTAGGAGTAGGTGAAACGATCCGGTGGCACAGCACGGGTAGCACGAGTGTCCCGCGGAGGAGTGGCCTGCGCCTGATCCTGCGTCTGCACCGGCGGTGCGCCTCCCAACTGTGAGGGGCCGATGACGTCCTCTGTCGAGCCTGAAGCGAAGTCGAAGTCAGTGATGTCGAAGAGGAAGGTGGAAGGCAGCAAGCGGTCCGACGAGGTCCCAGCATGGTCCAGTGGTGGACCCTGACTCGACGTGCCGGCTGCCTGTGACGAAGTCCCGGTGTACTGCCAGAACTGCGCTGAGTGCGAGGTCGACACAGCTGCCTGAGACGCTGACCCTGCAGCCTGGGAGAAGTGGGCGGCCTGCATCATAGCGAACTGGGCGAAACCTACACATCGACAACGGGACCCTTGTAAGCTAAGACATAAAATGCATGTAAATTGATTGTCGAAGTAATATTCTTTTTTTAAGTACCTGTGGGGGGCACAACAGAAGGCCTAGCCGAGGAAGGCGGGGTGCTGAACGGTGCACGAAACCCTGAAGCAATCGGCAAGTGAAACGACTCACTTATATGTGCGAGGCATGTACAGAAATAGTAATAAAAATACTTACCTCCGTGCGGAGGGGGTCTCGGCCTAGGAACGTGCGCAGCTGGATGGGGACCAGTCGGTTCGGGTGGCCGCTGTACAGCTGCGTCTGCCCGAGCAACGTCGTCTGCACGACAGGTGAGCACTCGAAGAATCGAGCGCATCGACTCCACCATCCACGTGTACGTCGTCAGGTGCTCCTCTACGGGTACCGGAATCCCTGCATCTAAATGTTGGATCGTCGTTGAACCATCAACGACGACCCGGTTGATGTCGTCGACCTGCATGGTTAATTTGTTCGTAAATATTCGTAAAATTTGACGAAGAGAAAGACATGAAAACATAAAGGAATGGTGCGATGCAGGGTACTCATAGCACGAGCGAAGTCCTGGTCGCGGTGCCTGGCATAGAGGTCTCTAGTGCTCGCAACGTGGGGCTGCTGCTCCAAGGGAGCGAAGGTGACCCTAGTACGGGTGCGTGGCTGGTACCAGCGTAGGTAGGCCTGGTACGACTCCTCAGTGTGTGGCTCTCCCTCGTGGTCCACGACCTCCTCGGTTGCGAGCAACCAGTCCTCAACAAAAGTCGCCAACTTGGCGGGGCCAGTCGCCAGCTGACTGCTGACCCTTGCGCGAGTACCTGCGAATTAATGTGTAATATTAGTGTGAAACGACAGATGTTACAAATTATTGTGAACAGGCGGATTTTAATGCAACAACGGAAAGCGTAGTGCAAGATCTTACCGGTGAACAGCAGCTGGGACGGTGGTCGGAAACGGTACTGGAAAGGGCTGACGGAAGCCGAACTGCCGCATTACGCAGAAAGGGGCGTGAGGCTCAACGCAGATGTCGAATACCATCGGAACCATAGTCATCCAGTACGCCTGGTCCCTGGTGCAGAGTGTGGACAGACCCAACGGCGCACGAGCCTGGGTAGCTGCGGCACTGTTGGGCTCCCACACGACGTCAGTCGGCAGAAGGCGGTCGAACTCCATAACAAACTCAGGATACGACCGCCTAACCTGGACGTGAGCCCATCGGCGCTGCAATACGAGACGATCGATGTGATGTACAATGAACTTAGCAATTAACTTAACAATACGATAAGATCGATGCAACGTACCTGACGACGGCACCACAGAGTACCCATCGTAGGGTAGTCGACCTCTGGTCGCTCCTCGTACAGTGACTCCTCGTACGCGTGCTGGTCCACCTCAGGGCGGCCGATCGCAATCCTCTCAGCTGCCCAGATAGAAAGAAAGAGAGGGCACCCACCAAAGGTCGCGCTGGGATCCGTCTTCATGCAAGACTCACAAAGTGCACGGTACAGAGCCGCCAACAACGCGGAACCCCAGCTCCACTGAGGCACCTCGCCTACCGCGGCGTCGGCGATGCTCCTGGCGTAGTGCACGAGTCCCTTGTCGACCGCGTGCCCGTGACCGCCACAGAACATCACCCAGCCAAAAAGCCAGAGCAAGTACGCCTCCAAACATCGGCTGTAGGAGTACTCGTCGGCCTCCGCCTGTAGCTGCTCAACCTGCAAGCCGTCGATAAAATGTTAGGCACCTTAACTGCGGACTAAATATGTAATACGATTGTCATTTCGGTACAAAAACACTCACGGTGAATTGAAGCAGCCACCTCTTCGTAGGTCCGGTGTTGCGGTGGTGTGCCAACGGCTCGAGCGGGAGGTGCGGTGCGCGCTGTAATAGTGCGAAACGTGCCGTCAGATCGTCCTGTCAGTCCACAGCCATGGTCACTGGCCCAACAGCGTCTCCCGCGAGCGGTAGCCCCAACAAGTACGATACGTCCTGTAGGGTAGGGGCTATCTCACCGCACGGCAAGTGAAAAGTGTGCGTCTCTGGCCTCCATCGATCGACCAAAGCTGCTAGGAGGGACCTGTCCACAGTCCATCGTCTGGGCGGGTCCGCGTCGCCGGCCGCAGCCTCCACCAGCCGACACATCGGTAGGAGGCCGGCCTCACGTAGCCTGCAATAACAAATTAATATGTAATTATAAAAAATATTACAGTGCAACTAACTTATAGTAAAACACTGTTCGTACCTCTCGACAAAGGAGTCGTGAACCGTGAGTAGCTCACCGCACGTCCGTGCCCGGAACGTCCCAAGCTGAGCCCCCTGCACCGCAGTAAGGTGAGACCGGTGTCGGAGATCTATCGCCGGGTCCAACAGCTGAGGTGTATCCTGACGTGCCATCTCTGAAAAATATAGTGTTTCGTGTTAGAACAATTCAAAAAGTAGTAATGTAAAACAAAAGATGACTCGCAAATTAATGAAATACTCAAAAAATCATGAGAATAATTACGTACAACAAGAGTACAGCTTATTTAAATAAAGCAAACGTTAGTAATGGTACATAACGATGACGTGCAATTTAACATATATGTAGAGTTCGATAATATAACATAACATAACATAACATTACGTGTCGAAGTCCGACATACATCAGCATACCTAAAGACACTATGTGCCTTAGTCTGACGTTACATCACGAGAACTAAAGACATGACAAGCCGAAGTCTGAAATTACACGACGAAACATAAACACATCGATAAGTTCGAAACAAATTACAAGCAAACCCACATGCCAACATAGAACATAAGAACTACACCATGTAGCCAGACGTGGCACGACGACGCCTAGGACGTGGTCGAGTGGAGGTAGTGCCTTCACCCGTAGGGCGAGCTCCATCTGCTGCTGATCCTGATAGTCCTGCCTCCGCCGCACTTGGTTTCTCCTTGTCTTTAGGACAATGCTTATAGGTGTGCCCACGTTAATCGCATTTGCTGCAACGCTTCACCCTGCCAGCCTCCGACTCGTCCATATTGTTGCGGATGCGACGAGTCCTCCTCCTTCCAGCCTTGCCTCGGAGCTTCGATGGGTCAGGAATATTGAGTACTTCATCGTTAGTCTCTGTGAACTCCCCAGCTATGCCGAACCCGTAAATCTCGCCGCTCCATGTATGATATATTGCTTGCTTACTGAAGTACTGCGACACATATACTGCATCTGGTATGCCACACTCCGCTGCGGCAGCAATGACATGGGTGCATGGCCTGTGGAGCAGCTTCGGCTTTGAACAAGAGCAATGACATGTGCCGTCGGCTTTGAGAACACACTCCTGCTTCACTCTCTTGCGGTAGATACCCCTGCCTGCCTTATCTTGACATAGTATCTCGAACCTATGTTGTTGGGTACCTTGCACTAGAGCTCGATGTTTCATGGCCTTTTTACGCAACTCCTCTAGCTTTTTCTGCATGAAAGTTCCAAACAAAATGCTGTTGTTCGGCATAGAGGGAAGAACTGCCTAGAACCGATCCCTAAAATACCTGCATGTCCCATGTAAAATGAACTCCACTATGCCAACTAGTGGCAGTCCACGGACACCGCGCATCACCCAGTTGTAAACTTCTGCCAAATTTGTTGTCATTATTACATATCTAGCACCACCGGTGTCATACACCTTGGCCCATTTCTCTTTTGGTTCATGCAGAATCCACTGAGAAAATTTC